TACGAATGTGGGTGCCTTTGTATTTGGGGCATAGATGTTTAAAATAGAGACTTTGTGCTGCTGGATTTCTCCTATGATGAATATGAAATGACTGTCTTCATCTCTTTTGATTGATTTTGGCTTGAAGTCTAACTTGTTAGATATTGGATAGCCACACCTGCTTGCTTTTTGGGTCCTTGATTGGAAGATTTTTCCCCAGCCCTTTGCCCTGAGGTAATGTCTGTCTTTGAAGCTTAGATATATTTCTTGTATGCAGCATAAGGATGGATTCTATCTTTTTATTCATTCTGTGTCTTTTTATAGGTGAGTTAAGACCATTAATGTTGAGGGAAAGTAAAGACCATTGATTGTTAATTCTTGTTTGTTTTAGATTTGTTGTTGGCAGTGGTATTGTGGATATATTTTCCCTGCTTTATCCTTTGGGTTCTAGTGAAGTAGGACTATCTATTGCCTATGCCTCTGTGAGAATAGTTAACTTCCTTGGGTTGGAGTATTCCATCCAGAACTTTCTGTAGGGCTGGATTTGTAGATATGTATTGTGAAAATCTGGCTTTCTCATTGAATATCTTGTTTTCTTCATCTATAATGATTGAGAGTCTTGCTGAGTATAGTAGCCTGGGCTGGCATCTGTGGACTCTTAGTACTTGTGGAACATCTATCCAGGATCTTCCAGCCTTGTGAGATTCCATGGAGAAGTCAGGTGTAATTTTGATAGGTCTGCCTTTATATGTAACCTAGCCTTTTTCTTTCACTGCTCTTAATATTCTTTCTTTATTCTGTATGTTAGGTGTTTTGATTATTATGTGTTGAGGGGTCTTTTCTCTTTGGTCCAATCTATTTGGTGTTCGGCATGCTTCTTGTTCTTTCATAGCCATGTCCTTCTTCAGATTGGGAAAGTTTTCTTCAATGATCTTGTTGAATATATTTTCTGCATCTTTGAGCTGGGCTTCTTCACCTTCTTTCATGCCTATTTTTCTTAGGTTTGGTCTTTTCAGGGTGTCCCACATTTCCTGGATGTTTTGTGTTAAGGATTAGTTGGATATAAGATTTTCTTTTGTCAATAAATCTATTTCCTTTGGTTTATCTTCAGCACCTGAGATTCTCTCTTCAATCTCGTGTATTCTTTTGGTTATGCTTGCATCTGTAGTTTCTGATCATTTACGCAGTTTTTCTGTTTCCAGCATTCCCTCAGTTTATGTTTTCTTTATTGTCTCTATTTCAGTTTTCAGGTTGTGAACTGTTTGAATTATTTCCTTCATCTGCTTGATTTTTGTTTTGTTTTGTTTTCTTGGCTTTCCTTACTTTCTTTAAGAGATTTGTTCATTTCTTGCATTTTTTTGCTTGGTCTTTCCCTCTATTTCTTCCAATGTTTTGTTTGTTTTTTCTTCCATTTCTTTAATGGATTTTCTCATATCATGTTTGAGGGCCTCTATCATTTTTATGAAGTTATTTTTTAAGTCATTCTCTTCTGCTTCCTCTGCTTTGGTGTGTTCAGGTCTAGTTGGTGTAGAGTCCCTAGATTTTGGTGGTATCATGCTTGTCTTTCTATTGTTAGGTGTTTTCTTGTATTGCCATCTTCCTATTGCTTTTTCCAGTGGGTGCAGGTGGAGTCTCTCTGTCTCTTCCCTACTTTCCTAGTGGGCATAGGTGGGCTAGGAATTCCATGTCTATAACTCTGGATGGTCCAAGCTCTCTAGGAAGTCTCTCTTCTGGCAGAGGCCAGGCAATGGGGGTCAAACAACAGACAGGCAGGGATTCAAGGTGGTCCCGCATGGATAGGTGAGTCACAGCAGATCCAGGAAGTTCCCTGGAGGTGGAAGGGTTGTTGGACCCACACTTTGGTCCAGTACTCAACCAGAGCAGTGGAGCAGCGGCCCCATAGGACACAGGGTAGGGGGAGGACAGGATCTGGGTGGGGTGGTTTGTGGATCAGAGTACTAGGGCTGTACTATCTTTGGATAGGATATAGGGGTGAGTGAGATTCAGGGCTAACCCATGGAGTTCCCAGGGAATGGGGGTGGGGTTTGGCCTGAACTGGTCACAGACTCACTTCCTGCAGGGGCCTGGCAAAGGGGATCAAAGATCAGGCAGGCAGGTCTGAGGGTGGTCCTCTGTCAGAGGCCCGGTGATAGGGAAAAAAAAAAAGAAAAAGCCTTGATGCAGTTTTTCAAATAAATGTTTATGTCTCTATAGTAAAAGATGCTTTTGTCATATATTGATTGTCCTACTGACTGTATACTGCTTAAAGTCAGGATACATTTACTCATGCCATCTGCCTTAAACCTCAGAATATACATTAGCTGAGAAGGTAAGTAATATTGGCTATTACATGTGACTCAGTCTGCATCAATTATGGCTCCATTGTCCCAGGTACCACTGGTGTTATTAATGTGATAACAAACAACACAGGACAACACCTCCAGCCCCTTTCTGGGGTATTCTAGTTAGAGACTCAACTCCACAGCATGCCTCCAGCCACTTGGTGGGTGTATCATAGGCATGGTCTCTACCTGAGCAACAACTCCATACCTAAGTATGTACAAAGTATACTGAAATCATGTTTATTGCCATAACTGGGTTTGGGTCCAGGTTATCAGACTTTCTTTTGAAGCCACCAATGCCTGCACTCTACACTGGTGATTCCTCCCCCTTACAGTGACCTTATTTTCCTGGATGGATGTTCTAATGCAGGTAGCATAAGGGGAATCATATCAGATAAGGGATGATGTGAATCTTAAGTCTTGAGGGTATGGAGCTGCTTGTGTAGCATGATGGGATAGCTGGGCATCATTGGTAAACCACCAGGCTTGCCTTCCAGTACATCCCAAGTCTCATTCATCACCCTGGGGACTCAGAAGTAAAGGATGTAGAATTAATACCTGAGCTGTGTTGTCAGTGACGCTGACTTCAACTGCTGCATGTGCAGGTTCAGGCTGACAATGCACTTCATGTCCTCTTACATCTGTCCCTGCAGTGAAATAGTAAGGGAAACAGTCAGAGACACAGCGTGATGCTCCTGTGGGGTGCTCCACCCCTACATTTCCCCCACTGAAACCTAAGTTGGTTAATTCTTCATGTGTTAGGCCTGTAGACAGGAATGTTCCCAAAAGCCATAAGCCTGTCCCAGAACAGAAGATGAAACTGAGGCCCAGATAAATGGTGAAAGAGAGTGGGAGCTCATAGATGGAGTCAAGAGTCAGGGAACTTACTCGAATGACATACAGGAGATGGCTGTTGTAGAAAGCCGCCACTGCACCATGTTCCTGGGCTCCATCTGTAGGGTAAGATGATGGGGAGGCAGAGGTATCAGAGGTTCAAGGTCATCATTAGCTACATAGTGAATTTGAGGTCATCCTGTGTACAAAAGTTCCTGCCACGAAACAAAAAGGAAGAGGGCATGGAATGAAGGAGAGTAGGGGTTGTGGAAGGGGCGGTTCATCCATAGCGAGGCACACTTACAGAACTCTATACCACAGTCAAACTCCTTGTTCATTGGCCACTGATGACTGACTCAGGAAAGTGACCCTGAGGTGCACTCCTCAGCCTCAATCCTGTCAGCATCCTGACAGCACTGTCTATGGTGTCCATCACCTGACCCCTACTCCACAGAGCCAGGATCTCAGTCACTTGCTGCAAGGCTATCACCTGGCCACACAGAGCTCTTCCCCCATGAAGCTTTCTTGTGAGGGCTGCTGCACCTTCAGTGTCCCCTTCATGAAATTCCTTGAAGGAGTCAAGGGATCCAGGCTCTTCAGCTGAGAGGATGTTATCATCAGCCCATTGTCAGCTCAGTCTGAGATATCCTGTGTTAATTAGCTTTCTGCTGCCTGTCCTATTCTCCCCCTACAGGTAGTGTATCAGACCTTAATGAACTTTTTTTTAGCATGATCCATCAGCTTTTCCATGACCTATTTACAACCCACATTGTCACCTCCTCTTCAGGACCAAAATGTCTGGTGTTTTGTGTCATAGATGGTACTGTTTTAAACTTTTCATGACCTTCCTTCACCTGCCAAATGATGGCATGATACACCAGAGCCAACAGAAGGCTAGGAAAGTGTTCATGTTTGGCTGACCATCTGCAGATGAGAGAGGTGTGTACAATCCTGGGTGAGCATTATTGAAATTTCTGATGCCTGGTGAAATGTCAATCAGGAGGTTTAAAGTTGACCTGGATGGGACTGGGTGTCATTTCATTAATTATCTGTGTGTGCTAGAGAAACTGTTAGTAAAGTTTAAAGAAGAAGAAGGAGGAGGAGGAGGAAAGGAAGGAAGGAAGGAAGGAAGGAAGGAAGGAAGGAAGGGAAGAAGGAAGGAAGGAAGGAAGGAAAAACTTAAAAAGGAAAGGATAGGACTGCTCCTGGAAATGGTGGAGGAGAAAGGGTTTGTTGATTAAAAAAAAAAAAAAAAAAAAAAAAAAAAAAGGAGATTATAAGGAGATACAGGGAAATTTGGGCGAGTTCAGAGTAGTCATGAGCCTGAGCGATGTGAGAAGAGGAGTTTGGGAGAGAGGGAGACCAAGAGGCCAGAAAGGTAAATAGTAGATGGGGTGGATTTTTAAGTGAGGACTGCTCAATCCCTGGGCTGGAGAAGTTCTGGGTAGGGGGTGGGGCATGGCAGCCACAGCTTGTAACAGGTAGGGACTGAGGGAGGCAGGGAGAACCTGGCAGCCAGCGTGTAGTTTTGTATGTTAAATAGGCACTTCAGTCTTTGTCCTAGGCTTGAGACCTAACACCCTGGGCCCAGGAGGGAGAATAAGAAAAGCTTAGTGCAGGAAAAGCGCAGGGACGACTTTGCAGTTGAGCCCCACGTTGTGTTGCAATGCCAAGCTCTGCAGGACTGTGACAGTTCTGATGTTGGGGCGGAAGCCAGGGCTGGGTACCTTTGTGCTCCAGTCCCTTCACAACGCTCTGTCCCGAAGTGAGCTGCACCTGTCACTCAGTTCACACTAGCCAATCAGGGCTCCGGATCAGACTGTCGGTGAGGATGAGGGCGGGCTCTTCCGGTCCGCCATGCTGTAGGCTCGCCTGCTCTGGAGTCAGGGAGACGCTTCTGTTCTGTGTGCTGAGCTGCGATCCGCTGCCGGGAGTTCTGAAGAGAGCGAGGTGACCCCGGAACCCGCCATGGTGAGCGAGGGGCCGCCGTCCCCACGCGGGGAGGAGCCGCGGGAGCCGGTGTGGGTCCTCCCGGGGCTGTGGGAAGCGGCGGACGCGGCTCCCCGTGAGGTCACGTGAGGCCCCTGCTGTCCCAGCAGCTCGGGCCTCTGAATAACTTCCATCTGCGGGTTGTGGCTAAGGCTGCACAGAACACGGGGATGCGGGTACTGTGCCTGGATAGTTCCTTATTGTGACGTCACCACGCAGCACTTGTATCATCGCCTTCAAAGGCGGATTTGCTAAGTTTTCACAGACCTCTACTTTCTCTAGTGTCTTCTAGAAGTTCTGCACTTGACTCTGAACATTCAGGCGAAGGATCCGTCTGCAGTTAATTCTGTGCAGGGTGTAAAGTTTGTGACATGGACACATTTGCATGGAGATGCCAGGGTGGTCCGGTCACCCGTTAGTAACGCCAGACTTGTTTACTGACGCCATGTGTTCAAATCCACACTGTTTTAATGGTGATTTTGTTTCTAAGTTTTCTCTTACTTTCTATTGATCTCTTAAGTCTTTCTCGCACAGTACAATCTTTTTGCAGTTGTATGGGAAGTTTTGAAGTCAGATGGTGTCACTGTATGTCCTGTTTACCTACCTAATCTTGTGTTGATCATGTTTTTATTCATGATGACCTTTGTCATCATTTTTCTGTTGTTGATGGGAAAAGTTGTTTCTTTTTACTTGAGTGTTGCAGAATCTATAGCTCATATTCTGTACTGAAATAACATTTAGGCTTCCTGACTACAATTATGGATTTTCTCTCCTTTTACCAAGTTTCTTGTGTTCTTTAACTACAATGTTATAGTTGGCTGCAGGTATTTGTCACATTTCTGTGTAATTCTGGCTTATTTATCTATGATGACCTATAAGAAATATGAATGTGTGTGCCTCTAATTTTCTTATCATCTTATTTTATGTGTATGAGTGACTTGCTTGCATATATGTATGTTCACCACGTGTGTTTTGTGCCCACAGAAGACAGAAGGAGGCCTCAGATCCCCTGCATAAGAATCTAGGTATGATTGTGTGCCACCGTGTTAGTGTTGGGAAGAAAACACAGGACTTCTACAACAGCAATAAGGAGTAGTAACTGCTGAGTCATCTCTCTAGCCCTAAACTTGACAGATTTTCAAAACTTTATATGTGTGTGCACAAGTGTATGTTGAAAAGCCAGTGCTAAGAGAGTTTTACATGTGGCCACCTTTGGTTAAGGAAACAAAAGTGTGGAGTTCATCCTGTGTTTTTTCTTTATAGCCCAGTGTTGTTAACAGCATCCCTTTAATCCCAGCACTCTGGATACAGAGACAGTCAGATTCCTGTGAGTTCAGGGCCACCCCGATCTAATGATGAGTTTTATGCTAGCAAGAATACAACACAGCCAAACAACAAAAAATAAAGGTTGGTTGTAATTGGATAGACTGGGCCAAGGAGGTATCTTATTGCACAGAGGTGTTTGCAGGTATATGAAGCACATAACCACATGCATTCAGTGCTGTGAAGAACGTGGGAAAGGATGTGAGTGAGGTTCTCTGGGACTGCAGATACAGATGGTTTTGAGCTGGCATGTGGATTTAATGAATTGAAATTTGTTCCTCTTCAAGAGCAGCCAGTGGTTCTTAACACAATGAACCATCTCTCCAGCCCTTTATTCAGATAAATAATACTGATTTTTTTTTTTCCAGAAGCAACTTAAGAGTCAAAATTACATCAAAATCTTTCACTATAGGCCATTTTGAAAACTTAATTCTACCTGGGCGAGAGATACGGCTCCACAGTTAAAAAGTACTGGTTGTCCTTCCAGAGGATTTGTGTTCAGTTCCCAGTACCCACATGGTGAACATTAACTGTCTGCAATTCCAGTCCCAGCAGATCCACCAAGGGTCTTCTAATCTCTGAGGACGTTTCACAGATGTGAAGGACAAACATACATGTAGGCAAAGCACTCATACATGTATAATAAAGTTTAAATAAACACTTCCTTATACCACTCACAACTTTCTGTTCCCAGATGTCAAAGAAACCAACTATCAGCAAGCAGGGCTGGGGAAAGTAGCAAGGTATCACTTCACCTGCCAGGTAAGAGATATCCCAGAGTGGAATACCTGCATAGCCTTCACAAAAGGGTGGTCTATCCTGGGTGCTAACAATACAAGCTACAGAGTCTGTTAGACAGCACAGCATCATGATGATGTTTGGTGGTGGTTCTCGGGACTGCAGAGTGGAGTTTGTCAGATGGAAGGCATGCAGGCATCCACCTGTCCCACATCTACACAATGCCACAGTAGGAGGATGACCATGTGTGGTTCTCACCTCTCTCCATCACTGTGAAGACGCCAATGACATATGTAAATGTCATAGGCACAGGACAACAGTGAGGAAGACTCATATATGAGCTAGCACTTTAGCCTCACAGGAAGTCACTTCCCAGATGTGTGTTGAATAGCACACTCTTAAGATCACATGTTCTCAGAGGTGAGAAGTATCCACAATAGACTGTGCCCAACAGAAAGGGGCTCTATAATGAGCTGATGGCCATAGAGCAGACTCAGTCTTTAGTCTGGATGCTGTATAAGCATTGCCTGAGCAGGCCTGAGACAAAGTCCATACACAGAGACAGACCTTGGTGCATCCTGCTAAGGGATTGACTTGACAGACGTTGCATGTATCATTCTTGTTATGAATTTCTTATATTTTTGGTTGTGAGCATAGCCTTTAATGCCTGAGCCATCTCTCCTGCCCATCATGTTATGAATTTCTATGCTTTCCATCTTTCTTTTGCTTTTCTTTGCCAGTTTGGAGTTGAGGTAGTTGTTTAATCCAAAGGAAAGTGGCTAGGAGATAAGCATTGCTGTGAAAATCTACTTGTTCCCATTTCACCCTAAGGGAGCTCTGCAGTGATAACTTGATGACTTTGTAGGAAGTGAACTATGAATGCTTTGATTCCTATTGCCACAGGATGGCTGTGTTCTGGAGTTCTATTTTGATTGGTTGTTGAGCTACAACATAGCTAGCTATTTTGGTGGTTGTTTTAGTTTTGGTACATTGCTTTTTTTAAAAAAGATTTGGATCATTGAGACATGTGTGAATGAACACACATGCCACAGCACATGTGTAAAGGTCAGAGGACAAGTTGGAGATGTAGATTCTTTCTTGAGTATTGACCTCAGACTGTCAGACTTGGTTGTTTGTACCTTTCTTTATTCGCTGGCTAACTAGCTGGTTCCTGTTATAACACCTGCTCCTAACACACCTATTTTAGTATATAGGTTGTAGTTGCTCTATTTTCATTTCTGGAGTAGAGAATACTGGGTACTCATTCTAGATCACTCCCATGCTTGGCCAGTGTCTGTCAATGAGGTTTAAACGATAGTTATTTTGAGGCAGGATCTGATTAAGTTGCCCAAGTTTTGTTTGTTTTTGTTTTGTTTTGTTTTTTTCCTATTTTGTCTGTAGCCATACCAGGCCTTAATCTTGTGATGCTCCTGCCTCAACAGTCCGTGTGGTGGGATTCCAGGATCCCTGCCACTCCAAGTTCTCAATTCATGTGAGAAAATAGAATTTGAATCTGCCTTCTTTTAAAAGTATTATAGCTAAAGGTATATCAATTATAGTTTTTAAAATCACCTTTTGGTGTCATTAATATTTTTTTATTCCCTATTATGTAGGGTCCACTTCCAAGCTCTACTAGTCTTTTTTCTTTCTAAGCCCTTTGTTTCATTAATTCCTATGTTTCCATTTTCATATGTGTTTTTGTTTGTGTAGGTTGAAGTTGAGAATTTTGGGAGCCTGGCCTGTTCAAGGTTTTCTCAGATGCCATGATGAAAGCACCAGTCAAACATGACTTTTTTGTCCTGCCCAAGGGCTGACTTGGGAAAGTCTGGTCCAGTGCTTAAGTGAGCATCATGAAGGAGTCAAGGGGACCAGGCTCTTCATAGCCACTATGAACTCTGTCTGAAGAATGTTGTGGTGCTTTTTCCAACATTGCTAAATTACCTTTCCACTGACTTTATCATTCTCCACCTAAAAACGGTGTATCAGAACGGCACATCTTAAGAAACTTAAGCATGAGTCATCAGCTTATGGAAGACATGTTGATCCCAAACTTTCTATGTTTTATATCTCGTCCCACATCCTCACCCTGGTCACCTTCCCTTTTGTGATCCTAATTGTTGACCTTTGGTGTCATAGACCAATTGATACCCTATCTCGACCTCCCAAATGTTGGCATCATAGGCCAGTGCCAGCAGAGAAGGCTGGGAAGTTGTTATTGTTTTGATTATCAATGTGCAGCTGAGAGAGGTATGAAAAACTATAAGGTGAGCCTTTTTAGAATTGCTGAATCCTGGTGAATATCAATTAGGTAATTTAAATTTGAACTGGATTGATTAGGTTCCTTTTCAATTGTGAGGCAGGGAATACTCCACTGCACACTGAGTAATGGCTTGTGTATTCTAGAGACCCTGTGCCCAGGAGGAGGAAAGGGAGGTGCCTGCTGAGTGCTGGAAGAATGTAGGGTCAAGTTGCCGAGGCCAGGCACAAGTATTAACTGCAAGGCAAATCTCTGCAAAGTTCTGTTCCTGTGGTGAAGAAAGCCAGGGCTTGTTTCCATTGTGATGTGTCTCTTCATGGCACTCTGTTCCTAAAGGAGGTCATTCAGACCTTACTAGCCAATAGGTGTCCTGGCAGACCAGCTAGGCCAACCCATATTCAGAATGGGGAAGGCACTTCCAGTCTACCCTGATTCAGACTAAGTGGTTCAGGGGCTGTGGGAGGATCTGGTGTTCCTGTATGTTTGCTTGTCTGCTGCCTAGAACTGTGAGGAGAGCATGGCGAACTTGGAACCCACACCATGATGAGTTAAGGGCTATAGTCCCCACAAGGAAGGAAGCCTCAGGAGCCCTTGTAGAGTTCATCTAGGCGTAGCGGGGTACAGATGGGAACCTGTGGCCACACTTAGTGTCTGGTGCCATACTGTTTGGTTCGTTGAAGTCTTTAGCTCTTTGTGGGAAGCTGGACCTCTGAGTGACTTAGTTCCACTTGTTGCAATTTTTAGAGCATGGGGAGCAGGGTGGAAACATCCCTGTTGCTGACACAACCATGCAGTGAGCCTTGGGTGCTTTTATTGGCAGGGAAGAGTGATTTGCCAACTTCCTGAACCCTAGTTTTTCTAGTGTCTTCTTAAAGTTCTGCACTTGTCACTGAACATTCAGGTATAGAGTCCATCTGCAATTAATTCTGTGCAGAGCAATAAAGACATGAACACATTTGCATGTAGGTGCCACAGTGATCATATCTTCCTGTTTAGTTACTAGGTTTCCTCTCCTCATTTGTAAAACCTGACTATTTTAATTACAGTTTTACTTTTTTTTTTTTTTCTGTTTCCTCTCAAGCTTTGATGATCTCTATTCTTTCCCACATAGTACCATCTTTATTCCAGTTGTATGCTAAGTTTTGAAGTCAGTTGGTATCACTGTCACTGTTGTGTGCTATTTATTCAATTTTGTGTTGTTCATTCATGATGATCTCATCAGTTTTCTGTTTCTTGTAGAATTGTTAGATGTTTTAATTGGACTGTTATTGAAATGATAACTCAAATTCTGTATTGTTGAAAAATACTGTTGACGTAATAGCTAAGAGGGCAGCAAACCACAAGGTTGCTCTCTACTCACTGCTAAGGCATACCCATCCTCCATCAGGTACAAGTCCTAGTGGGATCCACACTTCTTAAAGGTTAAATGTGCACTGTAACATCCTTTCTTTCAAAGGACACCTTTGTGAGGTTACCATGAATATAAGGAGATGTTACCTATGTACCTATGATCTTGGCAGGTAGGCCTCATGCAACTAAGGAATAGAGGAAAGAAGTCCCTGGGCTCAGACAGAGATACTTGCGTCAGTCCATGTGTCTTACCACACAGATTGTACTGTAGAAGCCTAGCATTGTCATCTAGGTCTCTCATATTCCTCTCTGTGCCCAAACACAAGGTGTTGCTTGGCCCCATTTTATCCCAATTGACTATGGTCTCTGGTATGATTAAACATATGCCTGACACTCCATGTTAGCTGTAAGTGAAGACTTTCAGATTTTAACTTGTTAAAATAGTCAATCAAATTTAAGTCCATAGTAGCCTTGTGAGGCACTTCTACTCATTTAGAAATGCAGCTTCCAGATGGCATCATCTGCAGTAGTCACACATAACCACACCAAGAGACTTTCTTTATTGTTTCCACCAGATCTGACTCAGGGTTTGCCATGTTCCCTGAAGGAACTGAGTAGGAAGGGAAACAAGGGATAATGCCATAAATTCAGTGAAATGATAGAGATGTAACCTTGAGTTTGGAGGCCTCAAATTTTTTAATTTCTTCATGTAACTTTTTTTATTTTAGAAACTATTTCATAAGAAAATACTGGGAGATGATTTA